AGATTTTGTGCTACAAAACATTCCAAGTTTGCCATCCTTGTCATTTTATGTCATTTTTATGACATTTGATAAGACAAATTCCAACATTTGCCCAAATATTTGTTCAACGATGTCTTTTATTGCATTCGCTTAGACGAATGTCCTCCCGATAATTTGGACGTAGGGTTATGTATTATTGCCACAATCTAAAATAGATTTAAAGGATGAAATAAGAAATTTAATTTATTGCAATGACCCCAATAGAGAGTTTTTCGATGAACCTTGAAACTGACGAACGGATAAAATGATCTTTCGGTTTCCTTGTTATAAAAAAACTCAGGAAGAATAACAGCATGTGCTTATTAATAAAATATATTATAGAAATCCTGTCACAGTCTCACTATCATACTTCAATAGAATGAAGATTCATTGGCCATATTGCTGCAGAGGGTAAATATAATTTGATACGGCCAAAATGTGGATTCGTTTCAGGATATTTGAAGTGTCCGTCCGCCTGTATGTCTGGCTGGTGTGCTCTATTTGATCCGATTTGATCCAAACTTGGTATATCGTAATATTATTGTCAAACTTATATCGATTTCGGAGATGAGCAAAGTAGGTCCACTACCTCTGGTACCTCTCCCAAAAATACACAATTTTCAGAGAAAATAATTTAATATAAAAGAAGAAAGGATCATCCAATTTTGTTCAAAGATTACAAATCCTAATAGTTGTATTAGTGCTATATTAGGTGCGGAAATGGACAATACGACCCACTCCATCCCACATAAGGTGTCAAAATATTGAATAATTCCAGCTTTTATTAAATTCGAAATAAGCATGCGATTTTCTTCAAATTTCACACATCCCAATATTTCTATCAATACAAAATCTGGTGATACCTTCTGGTATGTCTCCACAAAGAGTCAAATTTTTAGGTTTTCAAGAAGCTCATACAATTTGAAATAAGCATCCGATACATTCTAAACTTCACACATTCTAATATGTTTTAAAGATGGGATATATCACTCCACTCCTTCTGGTACCTCTCCCTCAATGGATCAAAATTTTAAATAACCAAAGCGCTCATAAACGCTAATTAAGTATCCGATTAACTTCAAATTTCACACATCCCATCTATTAACCAAATATCTGGGGTGAAAATGATAGATATTGGTGCACCTCTTCTGGTACCTCCGCCACATAGGGTCACAATTGTCAATACTTAGATTTCACATAGTTTTCTTAAAATGTCAGCGATTCCATTAAAACTTGGTAACCTGAGATCTGATCTGATGAATTCATGGCTCACTCCTTCTATTACCTCCCCCACAAACATTATAATTTGATTAACAATTATTAGCATAAAATTGGAAATAAACTCTAGGTTTTCTTTAAATTTTGTTCATCCCAATATTTTCTTCCTTGGTATTAGATGAAGTGGAATATTTCGGTCTACTATATCTGGTACCTCACACACATTTCTACATTTTCCAAAAATTATTACATATCTCATGTAAAGGTGAATGAAGTAGTTGTTATAATCCAAATCTGGAAAATTTATATCAGACTTAGGTCAGATACGAAATGGAAAACATTGGTCCCACTCCTTTGGAGCCTTCCCCATAGAGAGTCAACAGCTTGGGTAATCATAACACAAGTCAAAATACATTTAAATAAATGAATATTGTCCGAGAGTACACATTTGTCATCAAAGCCAACAGATACTTTTTAACTTCTTCTTGTCTCTTTTTGTATTTCTGAAGAAAAATCTTTATCGCAACACCCAACGCCACAGTTCGTGGCATTTTGTCCTTTTCGTACGTATAGTACACATATCCAAAACCACCTCCATATCTTAACCATAGACACCAATATTGACATCCATATCAAATTTCAGGATTTCGTCTATATTACTTCATCCAATACCAAATTTAGTACTGTGTAGTACTTTTCGTTTAATTATAGCACATATTTCAATTTCAAATACCAAGAGAGACCTCAATCACAAATTTGAGTACCATTCAGTACTTTTTGTACAATTATAGAACACATTTCCGGAACCACCACAATGTGTCCACGTTACACAGCAGCGACCTTAATACCAAATTTCAGATTCAATCACCCAATACCTAATAGTACCAAATATCGCACTATTTAGTACTTTTCATGCACTTGTAGTTCCATTATGTGATACTCTGTATAGAAACTATAATAAATTCACCTTCACTACTCAATTTTGACCGTGAGAAATCGAATTAAAAACCACAAAAAACAAAGACAATAAATTCTTAACCGGAATCTAGTTTATTTCAGGTGTTGTAAATAAGGATTTTTCTGATAGGAAGACCTAGAATATCTTAAATAGGGATTTTAATATATATTTTATGACTAGAAAACTTCTTCTTAATATTTATACCCTACAACACTATGTGTTGGGGGTATTATAAGTTTGATTGGGCCAGAATTTATGTAACACCTCGAAATATTGGTTTCCCACATAGGAAAGTATATATGGATCTTCCTAGCTCGCCGAGCTGAGTCGATCTAGCTATGTATGTCCGTCCGTCCGTCTGTCCATGTTAATTTGTAATAACGCTACAGGTCGCAATTATGGCCCGATCCTCACGAAATTGAAAATGGAGGTGGGGTTAAGGTCAGAATAGAACCCTATTTCTTTTGGAGATGATCGCATAATATTTAGGGGTTGAAATGGACCAAATACTGAAAAAAATTCGGATTTTGCAGTAGCTATACAGGTCGCAATTATAGACCAATCGACGCGGAATTTCGGATGTAGCTAGAGTTTAGGGCGGGGAAGAAGCCTACCAATTTGGGTGGTCATCGGATAATATTTAGCGAGTAAAATAGACCACATATTTTGTGTTGAAAAAATTCAAAAATTTTCATTAAACCGCGAATATTTTAAATCCTGGCGAAATCACGAAGCCATGACAAGGTTATTTCTGATCTTTACATTAATGTTAACATCCAACAAATCGGATATATAGCAAAATATGTGCGATATATATGTCTATCAAAGAAGATATACTTGAAATATCTCTTATATGTCGAGAACGGCTGAACTGATTTCGACAGTTCTCATTAATTCAGAATGGTCTCTTGGCAGGAAAGAAAAAACGTCTAAAAAAATTGCATAAAAATATCTCCCTAAAGATGAAAATATTGATTTTGTAATATTTTCTCATATTTTTTCAATTTTGTCATATTTTTGGCATATTTTCATTTTGAATTAAACATTTGGTAATATTTCTACAGCTAACAAAACTAAGTAGTTAGGATATCAGGATATCATATACAGATCGCATTTATGGACCGATCCTTATGAAATTTCGCATGGAGGTAAGATGAGGGTCAGAATTGTAGCCTACTCTTTTTGGAGATGATCGGGGTTGAAATGGACCAAAAAACTGCAAAATTGTCAGCAGGTCGTAACTATCGCCCGATCCTCACGCACATTTGAATGGGGGTTACCGGACATTGCAAAAGCCAAGCAGTTTTGGATGGCCATCCAAAAATATTCATTGTGTGAAATAATTTGCCAACTTTTGTAGACAAAATACGAAAATGTCCATTCTAGTGACTTTTTGGAGAATTCACAAATACAGGAAAGACGCACTTCTGACTATTTCGTTAACGCTGATTTCGTTGAAGAATATAGTCAAATGTCTGTATCTCACATAGATGCGTTTCAGTCAAAAACCAATAATAAATATTAATCTTTTGCCACTTCTGAGAGATTATAAGTCTTTGGGAAATATTGGTTCCAGATCTAGGAAGACCATTTAAGTGCAACATCTACCAATAAATTGGAAATGAGCAAATTAGTTTAAGTTGTTATTATTCGAAAATTAGAGAGGGAAACCTGATGGTTTTCTTTTATTATTTGTCACAATATCTTGTGGAATTCTTTCGAGTATCTCGCCTATATAAACTGTATCGTTTATTATAGTGTTGTAGGGTATTCAACGGTCGGTCCCGCTCGACTGTAGCCTTTGCTTATTTGTTTTTATATAGAATTACAAGTTACTCCTTTGTTGAGCTTTTACATATTGAATAAGATATTTATTGAGAAATTTAAGTAAGCTTGAATCTGTCATATGCTTGTTTAAAAATTATATATGATGTAGAATTGATCGAAAAATTAGGAACATATTATCTGCATAAATTATTAGTTATCTGGCATTTGTGTCATATCATCATTATAATTCTTAATTTGCGTATCATTCTGTAAAAGTTCGCGAAGAAAATCCACATACACACTACATCATCTAATAATAAGAAACATTCAGTATCAATACTCAGAAATGTCAAACTGAATCCACACTGCCTGCCTGCCGTTAGCATTCAGTATCATCGCTCCGAAAATTGACTTATTGAAACATATGTTTGGCGAAATCGCAAACATTAGAATCACTTCTCGCTACACAATGCCATGTTCAGCTTCAATGGCAGCAAGGCAATAAAAACATCTCAGACAACATTGTCTTTGTCGTCGTTGTTGTCATCCGCATCAGCAGCATCATCATCGTCGTCATCATCACAGGATTTCGTGAGGATAAAAATCAAACAGCCATAAACAAAACTTTGTTCATTTATACTTTTAATGCCAGCCTCACCCACTCCGTCGCATTTGGCATTATTCTCCAACGAGTCGTGAAAGGTTAGATGGAGCGGGGGTATTTGGCATGAATTTTACCACAGCCAATAAAGCTTAATGCTAATTTCTTGTGAAACATTCATAATTGTTACGATTATTGGCCCCTATTGGTTCGGTATTAGAGTCATAATATTGACGAGGGGAAATGTGAGAATCATCAACTTTGACAATAATATGTGGAGTAGCTGGAATCGAAGAGGTGACAAGATGAGATATTGTTTAGAAAGCGGGGAGGGGAATAAAATCAAAATATTTATTATATTTCAATGATTTTAAATGTCAACCATATCCCACACATCTAATGAATCCTATTTTTATTCTTATCTTTCTTTATTTTCAGCCCTTCCACATGTACCAATGGACACACACCGAGGCTCCAACAACATCCCAACCACATACTCCCGGAAAACTGGATAAGGTCAATGTGTGGCCCTACTGCAGCACACCGGCTGGTATTACTCGTGTGCCGAAGAGCATTCAAGTGGACTCGCCGCAACCCGAAAGAGAAACAGGATTTCAACAGCTCTTGAGAAAGAGACTTTTGAGCTGTTCAACAATTGCCGAGGTGCATGCGGTCGTAAATGATCTCTTGGCAGCGGGTGAACCGCTACGAAAACCCTCCAATCGATGCATTCAATTAACGGAACTTTTAAACGCCAGTGAAACAACGGTATATCAATACGACAAAAATGTTAGTGAAGGTAGTTCGGGCATTGAAATTGGTAGCTTACAGGATGTCGGCGTTCAAACCGAAGAATTAGAACAACATCCGGTTCACTTGTTATGTAGCAAATGTAGAAAAGATGCAGCTGAAGATATGTTAACCTGCGAAAAAGAAACTCAAGTTTCGCTCCCACAATCCGGAGATACTGAAAAGGCCAGTACAAAAACTGAGTCTGGTCCTGTATCTACTCCGCCGCCTCCACCTCCGCCACCACCACCACTCATGTCACCAGCAACACCAATACCGCCTCCTCCACCACCACCTCCACCTGGATCATCCCTACCACCCCCTCCTCCTCCACCTCTTCCACTTGGCGGCTCTGGCCTGCCTCCTCCACCGCCACCACCAGCTCCTCCCTGCCTTAATTCAACAATTCCCAGCGCTAACAACCACAATACATCGGCCGGTGGAACTCCCCCACCACCTCCGCCAGGTCCACCCAAAACTCCATCCACACCTGCTCCATTGCCCAACCCGACCGAGGGAGGCTGGTTCAATCAAGCCAACAGTAAGTATATCACCCCAAAGATCCCTATCTAAACTAACTATCAGTAATTCCTCCAACTGCCCATCATTTAGCGCTACGAAAGACTGCCGTTAATCCACCCAAACCCATGAAACCTCTCTACTGGACGCGTATTGTAACCCAACCGCCACCACCCAAACCTGCCCAGCCATTTGCTAGTTCCGCCTCCGATGAGACAGACTCAAGTCCCTCCAGTTCTCCCGATGATCCACCGCCTGCCGCCAAGGCCCAAGCCACCAAAGAGATCTGGCAAGAAATCGACGAAACAAGCCTGGACAATATTGACGAATTCACCGAACTATTTTCACGTGAAGCTGTTGTGCCCGTCAGCAGGCCAAAAGTGAAAACCGAAGTCCGGGTGAGGCACACAAAGGTGTTGGACAGCAAGAGATCTCAAAATGTGGGCATCATATCTCGAAGTTCCCATGTGGACTTTTGCGAGATCGAACATGCCATCTACCATGTGGACACCTCGGTTGTGAGTCTAGAAACACTGCAGCAGATAATCAACATCAAGGCTACCAATGAGGAGTTGGAACTGATTAAGGAGGCAGCTCAAAGCGATATCCCTCTAGACTATCCCGAACAATTCCTATTGAAAATTTCGCAAATATCCATGTCCACGGAACGCATATCCTGTATTGTGTTTATGGCCGAGTTTGAGGAGTGTGCCACAGTGATCGAACGGAAGCTGGAAGTTGTTCTGCATTTATCGCAATTCCTGGTGGAGAGTGAGGAGCTGAAACTGCTGTTCGCCATCATCCTAACCCTGGGCAATTACATGAATGGTGGCAATCGCCAAAGAGGTCAAGCCGATGGTTTCACGCTGGAGATTTTGGGCAAACTAAAGGATGTCAAATCAAAAGAATCGCATACCACACTGCTGCATTTCATTGTGCGGACCTACATCAGTCGCAAGCGAAAAGAAGGTGTACAGCTTCTGGAAATTCCATTGCCCATACCGGAACCGTCCGATGTGGAGAGAGCTAGTCAGGTGGACTTTGATGAGGTCAAGAGGCAAATTTCAGAATTGAATCGACAACTTAAATGTAAGTACAAATTTGGATATTCAATTTTGGAAGAGGGATTGTAATTTGTATTCTTTCAATAGCGACCAAAGCCATTACCGAAAAGGTCATCTCAAATTCAACTCCACAAAATATGGAACCATTCAAATCAAAAATGGAAGAATTCATTGAACACGCATCGAAAGTCGTTGACAAACTGTATAAGGAACTCGACGATTGCAGGGATATGTTCCTGGAAACCATGAAATTCTATCACTATTCACCCAAAACTGGCACAATCGAATCGTGTACGCCCAAAACATTTTTCGAAAACTGGACCAATTTTACAAATGATTTTAAGGATATCATGAAGAAGGAAATTGCCGTATTATGGAATGAATTGTAAGTGGTGGGAAAAAATAATGGGGCATACTGGGATTAGGATAAGTTGCATAGTTTTAAGGTATTGGAATGAGGACCACCGAAGAAAACTGCGAAGCCTGAATTATTGCCAAAAGAGCGAAGTGACAATTTTCTTTGGAATGAATATAGAGCCGAGATAAAACTAGTCGATACCGAGCCCGCAATAAATCGTAAGCGCCACACTGGTGTTTACAATTTCAGAGAGGGTATATATTATTTGATTCAACCAAAACGTGCCTCATCGAAATAACGGTCTTAGACCTTAGGTTTCTTTGAACCAAATCCATTCAGGTCTGTCTGTCTGATTGGTGTGCACGATAACTCTCTCCAATTTCGTCCAAACTTAGTACATCGCAATATTTGACAGGGTGACATAAAAAAAAATTGCAACAAAGTCAAACGCCATAATTTTTACACTTTTTTTTAAATTTTATTGAATGAAAGCAAAAAATGTCGGAAACAGCATCAAATTTTAGAATAATGGCCTTCGAATTATGGCCTTCAAACGGCCAATGAAAACGTCACACGCTGCCGGAATGTTGCTCTGCGGTATTTTGCCCCATTTCCGGCGAAGCGCTTGCTTGAGGTGATGTACACATTGATATTTTTTAGTGCCAACCTTGCCTTCCAAAATATTGCAGACACAATAGTCTAACGGGTTGGTGGCCATTATGCGCTGGAAATGAAGCGAGGAACCTCAATTTGTAACAATTCTTGGGTGGCGCGTGCTGAGTGCGATGGTGCTGAGTTCTGTTGGAATGTCCAAGGTCTGCGTGCCCTTGTACACCCTCCAGAATATTTTTGCGATAATATTCAGCATTTATTCTGATGCCACGGGCGATTAATACGAGCGGAGAGCGACCATCGGCAGTTATGGTGGCCCATACCATCACCATGCAAGGTGCACATTTTCATCTGACCTCTTTGGCAAGTAAACACGATCATTTTGTTTGTTTACAAACTGCTGGACAACGAATATTTTCTCATCGAAGAAAACCAAATTCGGCAGTTCACCACTTTCGACCAAGCGAAGCAACTCTTTAGCTCTTTAGATTTATCAACATTTAAATACTGGAGTTCTCTAACGATATACACTTGCGGTATCCACCCAAATATAGAGAAATCACACTATCACGCTTGAATTCCATGACGAATAACTTTTTTCTAGAAAATGTTCACCAAAATGCTTTTGTACGCTTGTAAACAATATAATGAGCTGTCACTAGAATAATTTTAACAGCTTTGGCTTAGTAATGACAGCACTCTTAAATAGGTTGCAGTTTTTTATCTCACCCTGTATATCTCTTGGTTTAATTTAAGTTTTAGAAGATTGCCGTTTTACTTTATATACGATACAGGTTTAACTTCGCTATACTTTCCTTTATAAATAACTTCCTTTATCAGTATATTTCTCTGTAAAACACATAGTACAATAAGGTGGTAGAACAGCTTCGTAAAACTGCAGAAATACAGCCCTGAGGCTATGGCCGCTTCCTGTCAGAATTATTCAAAATTATAGGCAACAAGTTGTTTTAATTTATTTGATATTTTTTGTTCATTTCTAAAATGAGTCAAATAACGCGAAAGATGAATGAAATGCCTGGATGTTCTCTCAAAAATATGACCCTAAGTGTTTAATCTTTCAATTCCATGCTAAATCTCGTTAATATTATTAATGCGCGTCCCGCAATTTAAGTTTCTTCCAATCATTGATTTTGAAAATATTTTGTTTTTATTTTTCAAAACAACAAATACATACACAAAATTGGCAGAAGTCGGGCACACTTAGAAAAAAATTGTAATCAGCTGAGAGCTCTACCTTACCTTTTTATTGTACCATGTTAAAACAGAAACTTCAAACAGCCACAAAACAGCTGCTGATGGTACTGTATAATTCATACTGACACTTATACTTTTGGGTTGTTTAATTTGTTAACAAATAATTACAAATGATTGGGTTATCGTACATTTTTTTTTATTTAATCCCCTCTCATAACTTCATTTCAGATTGAAAAAATCTAAGGATGTTCAATCGCGCAAAACTGTCAAAACTACAAAAGTGAAACCTGGAGGCCTCAAGGAACGCATTTTACGTCTGAACAAAAAGTAAACAAAGCTGTTGATGTTATTACCCTACAAAAATCGCCCACATGCCGATATTACTAAAATTATTATTACTATTATTAATAAATTTTATCAATTAGATCTACACCTAGCAAGTAGTTAACGAACAACCTAATTTTAATAATTAATTGCCTTACAATCAAAATGAAGTGAACGGAAATGCACACTTTTTTTGCAGTACCGAGTACTGACTACTGAACTGCGTTATTATTGTTTAAGTTTTATCTCTATTTTGTCTAAATTACAAATTCTACTCGCTCGCAAATAAGTTTATATAAATATTTAGATAGAAATTATAATTCCTGGTTGATCAGATTATTTATAAATTTCACAGTGGACAGTGATTGCAGGGAGATGTTTGCACAAATATGTATATGGCTAGTAATCCTGGTTACTTACAGTCTGCAGGTGAATGGGTGGGATGGGACTTTGCCACAAAATGAAATGTTGTTGATATTGAATTAAATGTTACTTTTTTTGATTTGATATAAAAATATGTCTGTTTGTGTATGCATGTACGTTGTGTTTAGCATTGTACTCATATATAACGTAGAAAAGAAGCAAATCATGCTCAGAATGGGCTCATATCCTCCCTTACATGGGATTAAACATAAATATGTTTCGGAAAGAAAGGGTTGTTAATTTATCAAAAACAAAAGATAAACAAATTAAATAATATGCATTCTTACCTACATACATACATACATACATATATGATAAGAGATCACTTTTGTATTCCTATTTGCTTTCAAAACTTTAATAAATTTTTAAGCTTACAAATTTTGGTGTACTTCTACTATTTAATTTGCAATGTGGTTCAGGTAAGGTGGTTTGCAGTTCGACCCTGTATAACTTAATTCCTAAGGTGTGACAAAAACATTGCTAAACATACCTCATTTTTTTACAGAGGTTTGTAGTGGGTAACGAATAATGTAACTAAAACAATTCCAGAATAACTATTGCTCCGTTCCAGAACCTGCAAGGATATACTATTTTTGCAATTTTGAACAGAGCATTTATTTAAATAAAAGTCCTCTTCCCAAGATGTGAAACCTACAATTGTTTTTTTCGTACCAATTTACGCCGAAAATTATAAATTATTTATGTGTTTACTTCTGTTTCGAGACGGGCTTAATGATTTGAAATTCGCAGTGAAAAATTATTATTTTTGTAAAATATGCCACTCTTTATACGTAAATATTTGAGATATTAATTAATTAATTTTTATACCCTACACCACATAGTGGTGGGGTATTATGTCTTTGTGCATTTGTTTGTAACATGGTTACTTTTGAGAATATTCATAGAATCTCTTTCTGAGTCGATTTATGCATGTCAGTCCGTCCGTCTGTCTATGTATTTTTCTGAACAAAATGCACGTCGCATTTATTATCCGATTGAGATGAAATTTTACAAACAATATTTGTTTGGCCCAAGGAGGAACCCCACTGGTGAGAATTGGTTCAAATTTAGATATCAGGTTTATTGTGCACCAAATGACCAATATCAGTCCAAATGACCTGCATGCACATCCGACCGAATTCACTCTAGAAGTAAGTATATCAAACTTGTTCAGTAAAAAAATCGGTTCAGATGTAGCTACAGCTCCCATATATGTGTTTCATCCGATTCGGGGTTTTTAGTCCCTCACATGCGTAATATGCACTCCACAACAGTGATATTTGATACCAGATATCACATTTAGCTCAGAAATAAGTGCCCAAATTTTCGTCAAGATCGGTTTAAATTTGGATATAGCTCCAATAAATATCTTTAGCCGATTTCAGTTTTTTTGTGCACCAAATGGATAATATCAGCCCAATTAGACTGAATCTGGGCAATTCCGACTGAATTCATCCTAGAAATAAACGCTTCAAATTTGGTAAAAATCGGGCTAGATATAGCTATAGCTCCCATATATATGTTTCTTCCGATTTGGCGCTAAAGTCCCACAATGATCTTTGATACTGGAAATCAGATGCAGCTCGAAAACACTTCTGACAAATTTTATCGAGATCGGTTCAGATTTTTATATACCTTCGATGCACATATTCATCCGATATACATCATATATGTAATATCAGCCCAAATTTGATAGATTTTTTCATATTCAACCTAATTTTTCCATTTGGTGAGACTCGGTCCGGTATGTCTACTCTATCTCAACATAGTGGCGTAGGGTATATAGTCGTCCCCGCCCGATTTTGACCTTTCCTTATAGGTTATTCTTATATTATTTTTTGAAAATGTTTGCAATATTCGATTCTGTAAGACTAGATTCGTTTACAAACAAAGATATGTCGCAAGTAAACTTGCCTTTATAAATTATTTAATTATTGGTCTGTTCCAGAACATGCAAGAATTTACTAGTTTTGTACATTTTTTCGATATCATAAAGGGAAAATCTGTTATCATAGTAAAAAGTTGTAAATTCTAGCAGATCTGTAACTGTTCTTATATAAATTTAGACTAAATGCGTCTACCTCTAGCGCTATAACCATTTAAAATTTTAATTCTCTCTCAGAAATAATGTCATTGTCATAAAGAACACAAATTGTAAACACATAAAATCAATTAAACTTAATTTTCAAGATCAAAACTGTCAGATATCAATGTCGTAGAGTGCTGATGCCATTATAGCAACAATGTGCGATGAAAATAACTGACAGAGCTATTTTCACCGATATTATCGTTACAAGTTTATCGAGGGCAATGCAATACAGTAATCGATAATAACATCCACTATCTGCCATCTCTAGGTACAACACACCACATTGGAAGCAGTAGTCGCCTGCTAAAAAATATTTCATTTTCATATAAATGAATTTAAAAATACAAGAATCATTAAAATATTTTGAAAGCACCAGAAAATATCTAAATTCCTGAACACACTAACGTCTGAAACAAAGGTTAGTAGATGGCGACGAGTGTGATTCGCATCAATTCATGAGAACTTCAATAATCGTGTCATTTATTGTAGGATGTCTCGAGTTACACGCCAAAAACATGTTCTTAAGGAGATGATGGAGGACGACTATGAGTTGCCCAAAGAGAATCAACAAATCGTACGTGTTGTCTGCAGTCGCGGCAATAATCTGCATGAGGTGGAAACCGCCAATGTAGATGATGAACGTTTCCTAGGTAAGTGGACATGAAACTGCTGATCTGTGTGTTATGGAATTTTGATATTTATTAAGCGTTCTTCTATAGTAACAATGCCCAATAAATTTCGCAAGAATGTCTGGGTGAAACGAGGCGATTTTATTTTGGTAGAACCCATTGAGGAAGGCGACAAAGTAAAAGGTGAAATATGCAAAATACTTACCCCTGAACACATTAAGGAGTATAAGAAGGCAGGAGTGTGGCCAGAAAGATTTGCCATGAAGTCTAATAAGGAGAATTACCAAACCAATGCTGCAAAAGAATCCTCTGAGGATGAAGAAGAGGATGACGACGATGACATTGAGCCAAATATGAATCGACCTGCAGCAAGAATAATTGAAGATTCGGATGACAGTGACGATGATGAGGAAGATAGCTCAGAAAATTCAGAAGAAGAATAATCCCAAAATTTTATGTTGCAACCCACATGAAAGAGCAAACGAAAAGGGTGATATAAAACAATGTTTTGGGTTGCAGATTTCAAAAATATTTTGGGGATGAGAATATGCCTCAACTCCAGCGCTTTAGTAATTGCGTAGCGTTTATACTTTAAGATACAACACAAATGTTTGTATTTTCTTAAATCTTTTTTGTCACATCACTCATCACCTTTTTGAAAATTCATCCGTGGAATTATATTTAATCAGTTTTATAAACTGGCATATGAAGTTAAAAATAAATTTTATATAATCCTAAATCTAATTCCTAAATTTTATTTCATACATTCATTTGAGTATACCCATATTTCATATTCTAATCTGATTCTCGAACAGCAACCCAATTATTAAGATAATTAATATCCGCGAAGTTTCGGAAAAGTCCCAATTTAAAAAGCAAAAGCTCTGTGCATGAGTTTTCATCTCTAGCAACTTTTTACTCGAGACGTGTTGCTATGTACAAAGTAGCAACATAATTCAAAGGGGAACCATGTTTACATTTTGGTATTTTTCAAACTATTGTAGAAACCATATGGATATATGACTATCTCGAAGACACCGTATACCAGGTACTGCATTCTATTCTGACGTTAGGCAACATTAATTCATTCCACAGTGAAAATGGTACATTGAAGTAATTAGCTGTTAAAATTATTCCAGTGACAGCTAATTACATTGTTTACAAGCATACAAAAGCATTTTGGTGAGAATTTTCCAGAAAAAAATCGTGATGGAATTCAAGCGTGATAGTGTGATTTCCTTATATTTGGCTAGAAAACCACAAGTGGCTATCGTTAGAACACTCCAGCATTTAAATGTGAATAAATTCTTCTTAATAAATTAAGAAAAAAAATGTAAAAATTATGGCGTTTGACTTTGTTGCAGTTCTATTATCTTACCCTGTGTTTTTAATACTTTATCGATATTCATGGAACATTTACTTTTGTTACTCTTACCTATTTCAAGACCACCGCAACTGTCTGTGGGAATAATTGATTACATATATTTCCCTCACATTTACCTTTAAGTGCCAAAAATTATGGAACAAACGATATAACTATTATAGAATGAAGAAGGTAAAGTCATTCCAAAAAAGTTTTTCAACCTCTGCATTTATGACCAACAACTAGAGCTATGTAAATTCGTTGTAAAGAAAACGCCCAAGTGTCATTCCCCCTTACGTAATGCGAAATTTCCAGGAATAATAAGGAAACAAATGTCTTAGGGAAAACCGATAAAAGTATGGCATATGAAACTCGGCTCCCTACTTTCTAATACAACTTACTTTGCTTTTCCATAAACTCTTCCAGCCAGATTACGTAAATGCTCATATTTCCACAATTCCCCCTCTCTATGTTTATCAATGACTACACCTCACTGTTTTTTTATTAAAGCTGCATCAATTTTATTTTTCACTGGAATTTGCAAATTTTCAAAATTAAAAATGTGTAATTTTGTGTGTATATTTTGTTGGGTTTTTTAATATATATGTATATCTTACAATCTAGATAGAGATTTAATAAAAAATAAATATATTCGATTGATATACATAATTCTAAAATAAAACTGGAATGATTGGAAAAATTCGAAATTAGACATATCTTGATTGCGTATCATCATTATTGAAAAACGAACAAAAATGTTTTAAAGTTTCGTTGTTTCTGTTACGATTAGAATATGACTGGGTGAACTGGATGGAGTGTATCGGTTATTTGGCTGCTTATTTTCCGGTGTTGAGTTTATATAGTTTGCATAAAATATGTTTAGATATAAATCAACTGAAGATGCTCGTGTATCCATTTTGTGAGTATTTAAATTTAGCCCATGCTGATTTTAATCGAAAACATTGAAATTGCAAACTTATTCGTTATATTGTATTGTATTAAAATGTTTTGTGTTGGTGGTGATGGTGGCAGCAGAGACTTCTTTTTAAATTCTCCTTAGTGACTAAACAGTTGGTGGTTGTAAATTTCATCTTTTAGTTTCAAGTGAAGGAGAGTGGTAATAACATTTGATTTTTTCTTTTTGTTTTTCTTTCATTACTATGATTTACTATGAGATGCAAAAGCTATAATCCTAATAATACTAATTACTGTCGCTATTCCAGTATATTTTGTGAATTTGTTTTTTTTTTATGTAAAAATACTATGAGATCTTATTTAAGCCTTTGGTGAGAAAGACACAAAGAACAAATGACTAGGAGGCCTGAGAGAGTGTAAGTGAATGAGTGCGTGTTTACATTGGACAAGGGAATGTTTTGTTGTCTCATACAAGAATAAAATGATAATGTTTAATATTCTACACGATACATAAATCTATGTACCAATGGGACCATATTCTTAGTATGTATATATAACTACTAGGGGGGAACTCGTAATGCGGTGTGACACAATTATCGAGTCGGTAATGTAACGCAATGCTTTTACGAAAAAATGAAACAGTAGAATATCACGTTTAAAATTCCCTATTTCGGACTTTGAAATTTAGCCACTGGATTTCGAATGCATATTATGTTTTTCATCTTCATCTTGTTTCTCGGAAAATGAAACAGAATCGTTTGACCGTACATCGTCGCTGCATACCCCACTTTCATCGGGCGGCAGCTGTCTTTTGTGGTTAGTTGGAGTCTCTAATGGTTGGTCCGCATCTGTGTTTGTCGCAGTCACTGTAGTACTGGGAATCACTGGAGCACTGCTGTTATTTATTGCATTTGCATTTTGAGCTTCTATCAAGGCTAGAGTAGAGGGACGCACCTTTGTAAATGGGAAATTATTTTGATTTTCCATTTGGGGAGTGTGCACGGCAACAATTTCTGTTTGAGTAGCTGCTGAGTCTTTTTTCTCGCTGCAGTTCGAGTTATTGACTTGATTTGTTGTTTGAGACAATGCCTCGGCCACACCTGCCGTCAAGAGGCGTTTTACATTCTCCTGCGGTAAGTTGCAGAACAATGTGAGGCAATTTAAAATATCCCTCATTGAACCCTGCAGTTGTTGTACCTAAGAAAGAGATAACATTTGCTAACAACAGGATAATTTTGATGGAATATCTACCCTTACCTGATTTGTTAGCATTCCACATGTCTTGGCCAAGTCATTTACCACTGTCGTTGAACTATTATCTAAACATAATGTATTCGGTTGTGTCACTACCATATTGCCAGATGATGTCCCAACGGCTGGTTGGTCTCCGTGGGTAACATCTACATTCGCTGCTGTTGCGTTGGTAGCAGCAACTGTACTTTGCATCGAAGAAACCTTTTTCCAAAGAGCATTAATGGCCTGCATTTGCAACTGCTGAATTTTTCGTTCATTTTCAAGTTGGGCCTTTGTCATTTCCATATCCTTGGTCAGTTTGCTAATTAGTAGTTTGAAATAATTAGATTTGTACTTCCGTTAAAATATGTTTGCAATCTACTTACTCAATGTATTCATGGGTTCTTCGCTTAAGTAATTTTTCCGCAATATCCTTAGTTTTTTTGCGTGTACGATAACCACGCCATATCTTTTGTATTACCACAGCTGATGATTCAGTGTCTTGACTACAATTCAAACTAGAATTATCCATATTCTGTTTCATCTGTTGGCATCTAGAATGCAAAAAAGAAAACAAAATCGTATTGCTGCAATAGTATAGTGCCCACTTGGTTATTACCTCTGAGCGGCTTTGTTGCGTATGGTTTTCAATTTATCCACATTGATGTTATCGCTGTCATCGTCAGAACTGCCACCTGCTGAACAATCATCGGGGGCTGCAACATGCATGGAATTTGTTACAAATTGCCTTGACTTTATCTGATGTTGTTCCATATGTTGTTGCTGATTCAAAAGCATTTTTGTATTGGACATTTGTTGATGAATATTGGAATTGTTGGCGACACTATTAGATTTTCTTGGACTCATTGTTGGACTGCGTTCCGAAGTATTGCGTTTCAAGTGAGGACTTCGCATTTTTGGTGAATTTAAACGATTATCTGTCAATGAATGAAAAAAAAAACGATTATAAGCATTATATATTGAGCCTTGTTGTTTGTCACATTCTTACCTTTATTTTTGTTAGTTTTTGTTTGTTGTATTTGAGTATTAATTGCAGAAACTGTTACCCTCTGGGCCACTGAAGCAGGACAAACATCTGGACTCATAAGTGTCTCGGGTACAGGCACCATTTTTGATGCAGTGGCTAGTGGTCCACCACTTAATGGCTGATTTATGTACGATTGTTCTGTAAAAAAGAAATTTGGTTAATTGAAATCATTTATGACGGCTCAAATTCTGGATTTGCGATATGAATGTTTTAGAATTACCATTATACGGATTTGGAGTAATCGTACGAGGTGTGGACTCCTGTGAATTGTTCATCTTTGCATTTGAGTTATTGCTATTTGATCCTTCCAAACTTTGTGTCATTATTGAATCGCAGTTCTTGACATTTTCTATAAGTGATGTTGTCATTTGGGTAGCATGATTTGTATTATTAACTAAAAGAAGGACAACTCCAAAATAAACTACTATTTTGTAATTCATAATTTCTATTATATTTACCATCGTTACGATCATTGGCTGTATTGCCATGATAGCTGTTAACCATTGAGTCTGGCGAACCTTGGCGACCACTTAAGCGTGAAACTGAAAATGACAACAAAAGCGGAAAACAAAATAAACAATTTTCCATAATTTGGAAAATAATTACTTACATCTTGGTGATTGTATTCGACTTGCGGGCTTCTTTCGCCCCGAAGATGGAGAATTATTCGCCGAAGCATTTGAGTTTTCTGATATTTCTTCCTGCAGTTGGCGTTGATGATGTTGAGCCTTGCTCAGTATCAAACGTAATTTGCGTTCATTTTCATTTTCCAATGCTTTTCCAATCAAAGGGCAAACTGAGCTTAAATATTTTGCCAAGGCTGCCTGCTCTCCCAAACGGAAACTCCTACCTCGCCCTTGACTGTAAAGCCATTCAGCCTTCAGACTGTAATTAAAGTTCATAATAATATTTAAAAAGTAGAGTATATTTACGCCAATATTAACCTCTCAATTGGATCAACCACAAATCCATCGATAACCTTTAAGCTCAAACACCAATTTAGAACAAATGGTCTATGATCAAATCCACTGAAATAGATTAAGATTTTAGTTTTGCAAGTGGTAGTTTACGAGAGGCTTTTCTTACTCTGCTCCGGCGGTCATCGAAACACAAGGATTTTCGCTTATGGTAAGGCTATTTAAATTATTCAAATGCGCCAGTGTACATATTTCATTTAAGTCACTTATATTATTTTTGGCCAAAGTCAAAACTTCCAAAGACTGAGGTAAGTATTTGTCACATTGCCTTAAATGTGTCAAACGATTTCCATGCAAAAAGAGTTCCTGTAAAAAGAACATAAGTAATTAGTTAATCTGATAAAAAAAAAATCATTTATAGCTGCAATAAATTAATATACTGTGAGCTTATATCCCATTTTTGAATTGTTTATGTTAGATACCCTAGTCTCCTCCCTATCATAGCTCAATAATAGCTACTGTGTCCGCTTATGAATACTTGACATAGTTAACGCGAGACAAAAAATGTTGGCACGGTCACTCCTTTATTTTTTATCGATTGGTTGTTTTTTCTGATACATTCTACCACCATAATACCAATAGATGCATTTTATTTATTTATTTATTTGTACCATGACAAGTATACAAAGCCTTTAGGCCAATTAAAGCGAATACTATATGCTAAACAATATGATTCAACAACTATAAAAATAATAATAAAAAACCAAATAAATATATATATATATATATATATATATATATATATATATATATATATATATATATATATATATATATATATATATATATACATAATATGAAATGAAAGCTAGTTTTCTTTAAAGCTAACATAATAAGTTTACATGATGAGTGAACTACTCCAAAAATAGAATTAGAAATATGTATTACAATAATGAAAACCATGGCATACTTTTAGGCATTATAGGTAGAATATGTACAATATTTAAAGATATTGCAAACGGCTCGTGTGATCGATTTTTTTTTAATTCCCAGTATTGAAAATTAGCAGTATGATAGAAACTCAGAAGCACGACCGTTTATATAGTTTCAAAACTTTATAACGATCAGCGATATTCCCTTATCACGCAATGCCCTACAATATAAAATAGTTGTGCAAACCATAGATTCTTTGAATTGCATCCTTATTCAAAGAACTATTAATTTTTATGCTATAATAAACAAAAATCATAAATTTTCATACCTTAAGACATTTCAGAAACGATATATCCGATATGCTGCCAATACTATTCTCGGCCAAATTCAAATATTCCAATTTTGTGTTGGTATTTAAATGTTCGATGTTTTTGATATTATTTCCCTCCAAATTCAAAATTCGCAAGTGGGTGCAATCCTTTAAACCTTCAATTGATAAAATTCCATTGAACGAAAGATTTAATTCTCTCAAGCAATGTAGACGACATATGCCATACATGCGTAGCAATTGATTTTTACTTAAGGAAAGCTACAATAAAAAGAAATGCAAAAAATATTACAGACCGGAAACAATTGTCTCAAGTGTCGACTGCAAGTATGCTTACCTTTTCTATTTTCAAATATGAATCGATATTATCAATTTTTTGTAATTCATTTTCATCTAAGAGAAGAACACGTACATTTTGGGCTTCTTCTTGTTTTGGCACTTTTTTCAGCTGTTTTTTGGACAAGTCCAAAACAATTTTTTCACTTTCCTCTTCACCTGAAAATAACAAACCGACACTGGTATGAGAATGAAGCAAAAAGATGTAGACATTATGGTGATGTATGGACATAAATCCACTCAAATGATTGCGATAGCGACGGTGACGCTTAGCACAAGCCTTCATATTTATGTGTGCATTATTGTGGCAAAATCGAAAACGAAGTTTACATTGATCATTAAAGTCGAAGGGGAGGGAGGGAAAGTAGACATGTGACGTCATGATACCTAGTTAATTTTTTCTTAATGGCAAGGAGCATGCAAAGTGGCCCATATATATTTACTAATTCATATAATTAGTAATTAGTACGAGAACAAGTATACTATATCCACTGTTTGGCTTGGAATGTATTTAATTTTACTGATGGAATTTTCTTCAATACACATTTATTTATTTGCTCCCATTCCAATAAGATTTTCACACAAATTCCATAGAGTAGTTTCTACAATATTTCAGTTTTTATTCTTGTCCTATGGAACTTACTCATTTCTCCCTTTCTCAAATTATTAAAAAACTGATGTTCGTAGTATAACAGCCTAGTCCTGTCTGCGTTCCTAAATGACCAGCCGGTCACAATTTATTCTTTCTTTATACTTGAGAAAAATCGATGTTTTTCCTTTTTGTGGTGTGATTATTTTAGCCAAAAAACACTTCACATTCATTCACTTTTCGCTTAAATTTATGTTTTTTTTTATTAAACCCTAATTTTTAAACTTTAATTTGCCCGTGGTAAGTAGAAAAAGAGTTTAAGAATTGAATAAATAAACAATTTTATTTGACCAGCAAAAAATCCTTTAATTGTTTAGGCTGCTGCTCCTAGTGATTGAAAAAATATTTTCGATTGTACCTCCACATCTAAAAATCGTTATCGAGAAAAAAAAAAGAACGGGCGAATTGGGGAGAATGAAAAGGAGCGAATTAGGGTTGTATAAGCTTTGTTCCCTTATTGTTTTATAGAAAGTTTCTGCAATGGAGCGGAATGTTAATGGCCTGCAATATAATAAAGGGAAATCGATTATCTTGCAGTTCTGGAATAGACCAAATCATGGTACAATGAATTCAAGGTAGGGCAGAACTACCATATGATTTCAATTTTTTTATTTTTTTTGGCTTAATATGTCAACTTCATTTGTTTATGTGTGCGTATTCTTTTCAATAAAAAAAAATTTCAGAAAATATTCAAATTCGGGTGTTTTCAAAATGCTTATTGCAACGTATGCATCGACAAAGACTACAGTTTTTGTCGCGAAATAAACCATAAGAGATATATAGAACATGATTTTGAAAAGAAATGTTGACCTTTCATTCAGTTTTCGCGGTTTTAAATTATTTATTCAAAATAAATGCAACAAGTTGTTTGATTTTTTATTGTTTTTATAATAATTCTGACATTACAAACCAAACAGGTAGATCTCTATACTTGCAATTTTTTCAAAGTTGGCCTACCTTCTCATCATTGTACCATGGACCAAATGTGTTCGCCATGGCAAAATTATATGCTTTGTACCAGATCTGCAAGAATGTAAAAAAAATTAATGAAATTTTTCTCCTTTGGCATGTATACCTATGTGCTCTGTGCTCAGTAGCCGCAAGAATCTGCTAGTTTTGAAATTTGTCGGTATCATACAGAAAAAATCGGCTATCGTAGTAAACGTTCTTAAAGTTTTGGAAACGAGCAGAAATTTAATTTGGGGTTGTAGTCATCATAAGCCTTAAAGTGCGTCTATATACAATTTTATCCTCATTATCAGAATTGATTGTCTTAATTCAATTGTATTCAACTACATTTACTATACGATAATATACGTTCTTACGACCAGCATATTAACGTAATGTCATGCACTCCAAAATCGTGTTTCAGAAAGAAAGGTCACCATATCGGTTATATTGCAGTTCAGGAATATGTCAAATGTATTCGTCATGGCAAAAATATATGTTTTGTTTCAGAATTGCAAGAATGTAAACATTTTTTAATCGCATCGCTAAATCAATATAGAATTTTGTGCTGATCAAGAATATATATACTTTTTGCGGTCTAAAATGTACATTTCGAGGAGTTGCAAATGGAATGGCACACTTAATATTCCCCCCATGCTATGTTGAAGGATATAAAAATTGCAAAACTAGAAGAGAACAAAACAATTATTGCCCGGCTCCCGAACCTGCAAGAACCAGCTAGTTTTGCGATACGCTAGATAATATATTCGTATATTTCATGTTTCCTAAAATTGCAAAATGTAGAATACTTTATATATGTATGCTGTTTTGTTTCAACTTGAAAGGGTGTTGCCTTTTCCACGATTTTCTAGCGATTGCTTGAAGTGTTGAGAGATTAGGACCAACAGCTAACAACTATACATTCAGGGGAATGATGGTAAAGCATTAATATTAAATATTTTAAAAACTATTCTTCTGCATTTTCAATTTAATAATCCAAATTCCAAAATTGTGTATTTTTGAAATTAAAATAATTTATTGAAAATTAATTATTTTGTTTACATTTTTGGACACATAACCTTGACACTTGTATTACGTACAAAACCTAATTTGTATATGGTTGTTGTTACGATTGTTGTACAACAACACTTGCTGTTACCTGTATTATTCTACCATGCCCGTCCATAATGTGGCGTTTCCACGGCACTTGATTCGCTCTCTATTCGTTGTTTGGCCCTAAACTACGGAAAAACTACTTAATTCTCCACACAAAATTTCCTGAGCGAACACTCATATTTTTATAGCATGTTCACACGGTAAATTGAATGACGTTGTTTGCTCTCAGAATCACGTACACGAACTAACCTGTTCCCACGATACGTTCGTAGTTACATCTGACAACTTCATTTATGGTTATACACAATTTTTCTTTTTTTTTTTTTAATTTAAAGAAAAATTAATAAAAATGGCTCAATTCGAAAAAAAAAATGTGAGTAAAAATACTAATATAACCAAGAATAATGTTTTATTGTTTTAGGTATCCGAAAAACTCCCAACAAATGGAGTATAATAAGTGAACGGGCTTTGTTGGAAGTGTGGGGATTATTTATGAGCCAGCTACGTGGATGTCGAAAAAATAGCCACATTCTTCAAGAAATGGCATCCGAACTCGGGAAACATGGGTTTTCGTATACATCCCACGAAATAAAAACCAAGATGCACAACATGGCTGCGAGATTTAGGTATGTTTTTGAACATTTCAATTTGCATGAAGTTTCATTGCCTCCGACTTCGATCATGGTGGGAGGAGCTTATGCGGATGTGTTTGTTTGCATCAAAATTCGTTCGATATTATCCAAGGATAGGTACAATATTCTCGGAACTTGTCATTTTAAGTTAAGAATGACAGAAAGTTTGTCTTCCAACACTCTTGTTGTAGATACATAATGCAAGATGATAGCTTCTTTACTTTTGAATATTTACAATCTGTAACGTATGTTTTTATTTACTTTATAAAAACCATGTCTTTTTATAGGAAGGAAAAGCGCCTAGTTGGTACAACCGGAGGTTCACCATCAGATTGGGAGCTATATAAAGAAATGGAAATGTTGCTAGCACCTTGCAAGACCTACAATACTGAGTTCCTTGTGTTGGACAGTGTCAATGGTAAGAATCAAATTAATAAATAATATATATTTGTTATTCTCACGTTGTATATTGCACAGATATTGATGCCATATTGACATGCGAAATGTCCAACTCCCCACCCTCTTCACCAATCATTCCTAGTTCCTCTTCACAATTAAATACAACTGACCTATCGTCGGAATTACCATTCACATCATCATCGAAAAAGAGAAAAAGGGAAGAAGAGCATGCTGAAAAAGTGGAAAGAAAAATTGATATTTTAATAGAGATAGAACAAAGAAAGGAGGCTAGAGAAGAGAAGAAAGAGGCTTTGTTAAGAAGCTTTGTGGAAAGGGAAGCGGAAGTACAAAAGGCTTTGGTAGATTTTTTAAGAAATGCTTAAAATTGAATATATATTTATGATATGTAACGACTTTTCTTTTAAACTGCTTATATTTCCTTTAATTATAGTTTGCTCTTACTATCTTAATTAAATACTTTGATTAGTTTTAATTTTTATTGTTTTAATGTTATGCATTTTATTTATCATTCAATGTAACATTTGTTTTTTTCTAAAATTAAAAATATATACAAAAATTATTTTGAGTATGTATGGGCGGAATGCTAGTAGATATGAAAAAAAGAAAAAAAAATATATATATAATATATATATATATATAAATATATATATATATATATATATATATATATATATATATATATATATATATATATATATATATATATTCATATAATTTGTTTAATTGTTTTTGAAAATGAAAAAAGGTATATATATATATATATATATATATATATATATATATATATATATATATATATATATATATATATATATATATATATATATATATATATATATATATATATATATATATATATATATATATATATATATATATATATATATATATATACCTTTTTTCATTTTCAAAAACAATTAAACAAATTCTTCAAAATGCAGCTTACATATGTACATAGTTATCTAAAAATAACATAAACTATATTAATGAAACATAATGAATTCTGACGAAATAAATGAAAAATGAAAATGAATAATACTAATTTATATCTTGAAAATTACAGACGGTTTCTCCAGAAGGGAACGTATATTCTTCCTCCACATTTAAAAATGAATTAGCTTCATCAATATTGTACAAGTTATCCTCTTCGTTACAACAATTTTTTTGCGCTTAAAAATAGTAAAGAATATGTATTTAAAAAATGAATGCCTACATATATTTAATGTGCTTATGTCAACTCTTGTTTGACATTAGCATTTTACTAAGAACAATAATACGTACATAAATATATTGAAATAGCATTTCGTATTTCTTCGCCATTATGGCCGCTGCTTTGATCTGCAAGAATTATTATTTCTTCAGGATAGGATCTATTTGCCTCAACTGATTGTAATGCTTTCAACCACTTGTCGTTAACAACATCATTGTGCTCGCTGAGAAAATTATGAAGAGCACAACAAGATAATATGACTGCATTGGCATACTTTAGAGCATTATCTATGCCTTTTCCGATTCGTCGGAATCGTGCCTTAAGGTGGCCAAAGGCATTTTCAACTACTCTGCGTGATTTTGACAATGCGTAATTAAAGCATTTTTGCTCGAGATTTTGTGATAATTGAAATGGATAAGGTTTCATCAACTTGTCGCTTAATTTGAATGCCGAATCGCCGATTATAAGGGCAGGAACCTCAACGCCCAAAATATTTCGTTTTACTTCCTTTAAATGACTGCATTCGTTAAGCTGCTGTTTGAGGGAAGAACCTTCAAAGATCTGAGAATCGTTGCAACGTCCTGGACTCCCACAACTAACATAAATGAAACGACATCTAAAATAAAAAAAGTATGTAGAAAGCAGTTATAAAAGGATAAAAGTCGGACCGGCCGACTTTATGATACGTTACAATACTGTTGTTATGTGCACCAAATATAATAGGTTTACTTTTTGGCATAATTCGGCCACTTGTGTCCAATTTCATCCCATTTGATGCACACTAAACCTGAAGTCTGATGAAGACCCATGAGAAGTAGGCGTCTATCTCACGACACAATACCCTGCACCATAGTGGGGCGTAGGATATAAAAAGTAAAGAAAATGTAAGTGTTAGTACTTACCTCGCATCTACCAATGCAAGGAGTACGACTGAGTACCATCCCTTGTAGTTGTAGTAATCTGTAGCGTCTTCCTTGGATGGATGAACCTCAATGTGGCAACCGTCTGCAAACGTTAACATAAT